AGTCTAATTTAACGTTGTAAGGCTGTTAGGGTCGGCTACTGTTATCTTCGTCAAGGGACTGATTCCACGATTTCCGGGCCAAAATGCTGTTTTGGCCTTAACAGGCTTGCCACGCCTATGTTGTATGACCCCCTCCTCCCGGCAAGGTCGTCAGGCGGTTTACCGTCCCGGCAACTAAATCCGAAGCTGTAGCTTGGCAGCGTGTGGATCCTGGATGGTACTGAAGCTCCACCCAATGAATGCTCCTTGTTCCGGCACGATCCAGGCACCGCCGTTTCTCTGGAGTCTTGGTGCTCTTGGAGACTCGTTCCTTCTAAGAAGTTGTGGAAATAACCAAAATGGAGCCCGCTACATACAATAAGGCCCAGCCAGCCTTCATCTACTTGATGCATCGCGTCTTCTCTCGTTTTTTCGCATCGCGCGTTGCTGGCCGTGTGGGCCCTCTCCAAGTCCAACGCATGCTGGATTCCATTCTGGTCACACCGTTCCACGCCGTGTTCGTTAAAACTCCGTTCCATTTCCAAGAATGCAGTTGAACTTTTGGACGCGCAACATGTGACGTCAGTCTCTCGTTCCTCACCATTCTCGCTCGTTGAATGAAATTACTGGATTTGGGGTCGGGGGCTATGGACCATGAATCGTTGTGACAAGCACGAGGGCGTCATGAGTGGTTGTGACAGCGGCGAGATGGACCCAAGCCCGAGCAGGAAACTCGACGCCGCGATTCCGCTGCCTACTAGACCACCACGCACCTCGAGGACGGATACCATCACCTCTGCGGTGCGCAAATTATACCAGCGAGTTGTTCTTGAGCTCATTCTGCGGCGCGAGGAGCTGCAGCCGTCAAAGGAGGGGAGACGCATCCCCCTGAGACCGCACAACGTACAGTCACTCATTGACGAGCGCCGGGGGCGCCCCTATGTGTCTAACTCCATCCGGACCTCTCGTTATACCATCTACGACTTTCTGCCGAAGCAGCTCATTTTCCAGTTTACACGTCTGGCCAACTTTTACCTCCTTTGCGTTGGCATCCCACAGACTATCCCAGGCATAAGTACGACAGGAAATTTCACCACCATTCTCCCGCTGTTGTTCTTTGTTCTGCTCATAATCTGCAAGGAGGGCTACGACGACTGGAAAAGACATCGTCTCGACAAGGTCGAGAATGCCAGGCCGGTGCTCACGCTGCGCCCAGCGCCCTCAACGAGGTTGCATTTTGGAGATGTGAACACCGGCTCCCAGCACCTTGATGGCGCTAATGGACTGCAGTGGTGCACCGTCAAATGGAAGGACCTGAGGGTTGGCGATGTCATCAAATTAGCCAGGGACGACGATGTGCCGGCCGACATCGTTCTCCTGCACACCGATGGGGAGGAAGGCCTGGCATACGTCGAGACCATGGCACTTGACGGAGAGACAAATCTCAAGAGCAAGTACGTGTCGCCGGTGCTAAAGGGATGCACCTCGATCGAAGCCATATGTGCTTGCCCTGCCGAGTTCGTCGTTGAGGACCCGAACCCGGATCTGTATCGGTTTGACGGCAGAGTGACCGTCGATAATGAAACGGTTCCCCTCACCCTCAACGAGGTCGTTTACCGGGGGTGCACAATCCGCAACACTTCGAGTGTGACCGGCATAGTCATCAACACCGGGGAAGAGACCAAGATCCGCAGAAACGCCAACCGCCATCCCCGTGCCAAGAAGCCGGCGCTCGAAAGCATGGCCAACAGGATTGTTATCACTCTCGTCATCTTTGTCCTTTCTCTTACCGCGGGTTGCTCCGGGGGGTACGCCATTTTTCACCGTACCTATGAGCAGGTTACGTGGTATTTGTCCGGCCTTGCAGTTCCATGGTCGCATATCATTCTCGGATATGCGATCCAGTTCAATAACGTCATTCCTCTGGCTCTGTATGTCAGTTTGGAAATCGTAAAGTTGGGTCAGATGTTTCTGGTCAATTCTGACGTAGAAATGTACGACGAAGCGTCACATACCGCAGCAAGATGTAACACCAACACGATCCTGGAAGACCTCGGCCAAATAGGCTATCTGTTCTCTGACAAGACAGGCACCCTGACGGAGAATGTCATGAAGTTCCGCAAGATGAGCGTTGCTGGGACCGCTTGGCTGCATGAAATGGACCTCGGAAAGGAGGGCAGGAACGCTGAGAAGGGGCTAATGGACGCCAGGGGCCTATGCTCAAATGCAGAACATGCCGAGGTCTCCCCTGTCGAGGCTGGGCCCTCACAGATCTCTTTTGCCTTAAACACAACAACTCCCACCTCCCCTCGCCGATCATCGTCGCATTGGCGGTCGACGGGCCGGCCTGACCATGTCCAGCCCGCTCTCACTACCTCAGACTTGCTTGAATACATCCGACTCCGGCCAGACTCGACTTTCTCCAGGCGTGCCATCCAGTTTATTCTCGCAATGGCCCTCTGTCACACTTGTCTCCCAGAGTCCAAGGATGGCAAGATCGACTTTCAGGCCTCTTCTCCGGACGAGCTTGCCCTCGTGAGAGCGGCGCAGGATCTTGGCTTCTTAGTGATCCAAAGGAGCACACAAGAAGTCACGCTCCGGATAACCTGTGAGGGAGGATACTCGGAGCGAACGTACAAGATCTTGGACGTGATCGAGTTCAGCAGCAAGCGTAAACGCATGTCAATAATTCTGGGCTGTCCGGATGGGGGTATTTGGATGATCACCAAGGGTGCCGATTCTGCCATCCTCCCACGGCTGAGGATGGCAGATCTGGCGTCACAAAAGGCCAGAGAACTACGCCAAAGCCTCGAGTTCGAGCATCAATTACTGCGCAAGAGCGAGGCCCGTGAGCCACGCAACAGTTTCGGAGGTCGCGCAAGCCTGACGATTCGGCGAAGCATAGCACTCTCCCGGCAAGGTACTATTGCTGGAGTCAGCAGCAAACGCCCCGATGCGAGCAGAAGCAGGTCGTTAGATATCGACAAAGTCGTCCCTCTTTCTAATGTCCGCCCCCTCCCTCGACTAGGCGCCCGCACAGTGTCCTTCGACACCTCACCAAAGACGAATGTTAGCCCCGTTAACCCTTCGCTACACATCCACCGCCTGCCAAGCAAGTATGCCTTTCTCGATGACCCCTCCATCCGTGACGATTCTACCATTTTCACGCGCTGCTTCCGCCAGATCGAAGAATTCGCCACGGAAGGCCTTCGCACTCTTCTCTTCGCTCACAGATTTCTGAGCGCACAAGAATACAGCGATTGGAAGAAGTCGTACCATGCCGCTGAGACCAGCCTTGTCGACCGACAAGAACGTATCGAAGCTGCCGCAGAGCTGGTAGAACAGTCACTCGACCTAATCGGCGCGTCAGGAATTGAGGACCAGCTGCAGCCTGGCGTCGCCGAGACTATTGACCGTCTGCGGCGTGCCAATATCAAAATCTGGATGCTTACGGGGGATAAGAGAGAGACTGCCATCAACATCGCTCATTCCGCTCGTATCTGTCGACCAGGGTCAGATCTCTTTGTGTTGGATGCTGCCAAGGGTGACCTCAAAGGACAGGTTCTCGCCGTGTTGGAGGACATGCAGATACAAGCCGAGACTAACGCCCCTCGCACCCCAGGCCACAATGTGGTCGTCATCGATGGACACACGCTTGCCGCCCTAGAGGGACCCCACGCCGCCCAAACACGAGACATGTTCTACCGCCTTATCCTGAGAATTGATTCGGTAATTTGCTGCCGCGCATCCCCGGCTCAGAAAGCCCTCCTTGTCCGCGCTGTGCGCAAGGCATCCTCCAGCTCAGCCAGACGATGGCTCCCTTCGTTCTGTTCCGCGACAGGCCCGCTCACGCTCGCCATCGGCGACGGAGCGAACGACCTGGCCATGCTCGCGGCTGCGCACGTTGGGGTGGGCATATCCGGGCGTGAGGGACTGCAGGCCGCACGCGTGGCCGACTATGCCATCGCGCAGTTCCGATTCCTCGCGCGCCTGCTACTTGTCCACGGCCGCTGGAACTACGCACGCACCGCCCGCTTCGTCCTCGCCACCTTTTGGAAGGAAATGTTTTTCTACCTGCCCACCGCCCTCTACCAGGGCCGCAACGGCTACACGGGTACCAGTCTGTACGAGTCATGGAGCTTGACGGTGCTCAACGTGCTCTTTACGAGCCTCTGTGTCATTGTCCCGGGCGTGTGGGAGCAGGACCTGGCGGCCGAGACATTGCTTGCTGTGCCTGAGCTGTATGTCTTTGGGCAGAGGGATGCGGGGTTAAACGTGGTGGACTACTGTTGGTGGATGGCGGCTGCTGCCGGAGAAGGGGTTTTGGTGTGGTTCTTGTGCTGGGGGTTGTACGGTGGTTTGGGCGGTCCGGTGAGGGATGGGGGCCTCTACGCCCTGGGAAACCTGGTGTTCTCGGTGAATATGATGTGGATCAACTTGAAGCTTCTGTGAGTCCTTTCCTGGAAGGAGAAACGGGTTGAGAACTGCCACGCTGACGGCTTGCTTGCGTCCTTGCCAGAATCCTTGACACGCATTGCAAGACTGGAATCGTCCTCTTCTCGTTTGGCATCACCACCGGCGGCTGGTGGATCTGGCAGGTATTTCTGGCGGGAGTGTATGCCCCTGGAGTCTGGCCTTACGCGGTCCGCAACGGCTTCTTTTCGGGGTTCGGCGCAGACGCCGCCTGGTGGGCGGCGCTGATCGCGGTTCTAGGACTTCTTACATGTTTGGAACTGGCCTACCGGTCGGTCAAGCGCAACCTGATTGTGGCGGGGTTGTGGAGGTGTGGCTGGAAATGGCTTGAATGGTCGACGTGGAGAAGGGCATTCGGCCGATCGGCGGACGCCGGCGGTCTGTGGACCGAGGAGGCGATGAGGGGTGGCATGGAGGAGTGGGACGTTGAGCTGTGGCAGACGATGGAGCAGGATCCGGCCATTCGGGCGGCCCTGCGCAGAATGAGTCGGTTGGGTTATGATGAATTGGTGGATAGTGAGGCTGAAGGAGTGGACAGCACAGTTGTGGACGCCAATGTGTGATAGTCGGCGGCAGTTTTCGGTCTGCATGTTTCCGTATCGAGATACCCTTCTGTGTGCGATTAGACGAGGGGTCTAGAGTCCCATAAAGTCATGATTGTTGTTACTAACGTTAAGTCACCGGTGAGATGAGATCTCGATGTTTCACGATCATCTGCCGTAGGACCCATGTCGGTCTTAGGCACGATGATACCTAGGGAAAGTCACCAACCCTGAAACACACGTCAAGCCAAGAATAGCAATAACGGTACATACGCCGCAAAAAATAAGGTAACTTGCCGTACACTAGGTAAGAGCATAGTGATCCTGCGCCTCGCACGGCGTCCAGTTTCACATCGCTTGTTATTCCCATCTTGAATAGCAGTTGCATATACGGAATAAAGGTGGATCTGGGCGGTCCGGGATCTCGGACCCGATCGATCGGTTCGACGCTGCTGTGACCGGAAAACACCAGGTCAAAGTGGGTCCCAGGGGGGTAGTAGGGTGCCCCACGCGCGCGCAACAGGCGGTCAACCCCAACAGCCAGTCGAATTCCTAAAGCTATTGATATTGGCCAAATAGGCCCAAAAACGCGTTTTCTAATGTTTTTCGTCAATTCCATCGATTTCTACGCTTTTCGTAACCCT